GTCAAAATTCGAACTTTAAATGATTATAAGAAAAAATTATGCCTATGTATTTTTAATATTTTTCAACTAATATTGTTACAATATATCAGGAGCCTTGCGTTAAATTTTCACGCTTTTTACCCAACAAAAAAAATTTTATTGATATTCATAGAAAAAAAACTAAGAAAAATGAAAACTGTCAATGTCCGTAAATAGCTCAAAAAGAGGCAAAATATTTTCAAATTTTTTTGGTGTATAAAAAATGAAAACATTCAGCAAAATTTTAAGTTTTGTGATTTTTCCGTATTTTGTCAAGATTCGAACTTTAAATGCTTATAAAAATACTATGACTAAGGATTTTTAATATTTTTCAACTGCTATTGTAACAATATAGCAGGAGCCTTGTATTAAATTTTCAAGCTTTTTTACCCAACAAATAAAGTTTTATTGACATTCATATTTTTTGGATTTTCTTGAAATTTCAGGGGGGGCTGCAGCCCACCCAGCCTCCCCCATAAATACGCCCCTGGTGTCATAAATATATAATTTTGTATATGTTGCTGAGTAATCCTCTGAGCTGAATAAAATATAGGTAGAACTAACTATTTTAGTTGAGATATTTTTCTATAATATGCGTGTTTAAGCTCAGGTACTATGGTCTCATCTAATAGAATTGAACTATCTATCGGGTATAACAATTTTGTAGTAGTAGGTATAACCGATTGATGAGTGATGTTGTACTTTTGAAAATACTTTTTAGGGTGGATTAATTGGAATGTTTAATTGCATCTATGTAAATGTGACTAAGTATTTTAAAGTATGTATTTCATGTGTGAGTGTGTCTATATGTAACGAAATGTCTTATATTGATATGTAAGTTGTATAACAAGATTAGATGTGTGTGATGATGTATATAATATGCAAGTACCTATTTTTTGCATGAATGCTGTATATATGTGCCATTTATGGAAAATAAATGAGTATATATAATAGAATAATATGAAAGTTTTATAGTATGTTTAGGTGTTTGTTATAATGAATGTTATAATACTTTTTAAAATGTTGTGTTACACGGTGGAACATGTAGAAATGCCAACTTACACTTATGAAACTTCCCTGTAAAAAGGTGCTCAGAATATTATACAAATATGCGTATGTATATAATATGTGACTATCTAAATATGTATGAACTAACCTATGGTTATATGAGTGTATGTGCATGTATGTGCTATAGAAAGGGATGAACGAATCTCATCGACATCTGTGAACGGTTGCCCATATATACCTAGGTATATTATGTATATTTCTGTATGTTTTCAGGTATAGGAATGTGTGAATGCAAACGAGTATCTCTATACTTTAACGTGTATATTTTGAAAAACATAATTTTTTACAAGTTTATGTATGTGTATGTTTGAGATACATTCCGGTGTATAACGTTTGCTTTAGCACGATGTTTATTCGAATGGGATTATAATCTGAAAATGGTATAATATTTTTAGATATGTGTTATGTTGTAGGTGCCTACCTAATATGATATTATGAGCATGTATGTTAGTATTTATGTATGTATGATACAGTCGATACAAATGTACATCAGAATATTATATATTTTAAACACTATGGATAAATCGTTCTTAGACATGAGTGGTGGGTATGTAAACGAATCACCTATTCGGAAAATATTTGTACATTCTTTCCTGCCATTTTCCAATGATATCCGTATTAATAATGCTTGTGGAATAAATACTAATAATAATAATAAATATAACGCGTTTTGTTTTTTGCTATATAATATCATAATATATTATACAGTGATTTTGACAGTGTATGTATATAGTAATAGATATAAGAAATCTTATTTCACAATAATACAAGTAACGCGCAATGATATGAATGCGGCGCTGTGTAACAATATAACAACGTATACATATATATATAGTATATTATATTATGCCTAGTCGACTATTTTTCCTATATCCCTGACCGGCGGTTGAATGAACCGCGTGGAATTCGGTGGACAGCGGCACATCAATAGTTTGTATAAGAAAACATCGCTGACCCGTCAATTTCTTCGAGTCTGATCGGCTGTAAAAAATAACGTACGGTATATTATAATTTATAATATAGTATAATATAATATAATAATATATTACCCATTCGATGACGTCAGCGGTGGCTGCGGCGGCGGTGACATCGTCGTTGATCGGATAGCCTGTACCGTCTTCGCGCATTTTCTTGTGCCAACACTCGGCGAGTTGTTTGCGCGCAAACAATTTGATCTGGTTCGCGAAACAGTATTCATTTTTCGGGACGATATTCAGTGTCGATAAATCGCTGTGGATATTGCATATGATCGCTGTAATTTCTTCAACTGACGAGGATTTTTCTGCGGGTACATTTGCGTATAAATATGCGGCCATAAGATCAGTTTGTCCCATCACCATGTGACGTATAATGTTAGATTTTTGGGCGATAACCTCGTTGATAATCCACTGCATGTCTTGGAGCTTTAATAGATTTCGTCTGCTCAATAATACACGGCGTCCTTTCTGGCGGTGGGATTCGATTACAAGCATATTATTACCGCGATAACTAATTTTGCACAGTGTAATCGTCTCATCCCGGAGTAGCAGTTTCTCGAGGCTTTTAACCGGCGGATCGGTTATAATCGATAGAATATGTCCCATCAACGAGTAAAGGCGCCGTAAAAAATCGGTTGTTATACATACGAACCGCGACGGCGTGACTATCCTGATAGATACGTTGAAATCCATAGACGGGTCGAGTCCGATGCTGATAGTCTTGCGACTGATAAAGTCTATGACGAAATCGCTGGTATCGATTAACTCGGCGAGCGACATATCTCCGTCTAGTCGCAGTTGAACGTCACGTTCCGTCATTATTATTATTATTATTTATTAAATTTAATTTAACTTTGAAAAACAATATAATGAAACACACTTGGTGGACATCGAACAGCTGCACCGGGTATGATCCACGATTATCATATATTTTGGCATGCGAATTAAAAATAATAATTATCTTAGTTAATAGATCAACCACGGTAAGCGTGAATATGTCGTGAAATATATGGGGAGGGGTGATTCTTTCATATATACTAATATACTGCTATACTAGGCTATGTTTAGAGTATATATATATATATATATATATATATATATATATAGTATGTAGTATGTACAATGTAGATAGTATATAGGTGCGTGCATAGTATATACATAGTATGTATATAGTATGTAGTATGTACATAGTATATAGGTATGTGCATAGTATGTACATAGAAGGTATATAGTATATATAGGTATATACTATAGCATGTTCGGAGTATTTACTATATATATATATATATATATATATATACCGCGGGGGCCCGCGATGACGCGGGAGGAGCCGGATTACGTAGTTCCGGTGCGGGACGGGCGGGGGATTGGCGGAGTGGCGCAATATATATATATATATATATATATATACCGCGGGGGCCCGCGATGACGCGGGAGGAGCCGGATTACGTAGTTCCGGTGCGGGACGGGCGGGGGTGGAGGGGGGAGGGTGGCGGGGGGAGCGCAGACTGGCGCAGTATAGGCGGGGGGAGGGTGGCGGGGGGAGCGCAGACTGGCGCAGTATAGGCGGGGGGAGGGTGGTGGGGGGAGCGCAGACTGGCGCAGTATAGGCGGGGGGAGGGTGGCGGGGGGAGCGCAGGGTAGCGCAGTATAGGCGGGGGGGTGGTGAAGCGGGGGGTCACCAGTACCGGCCATTTCCTACTACTATTATTTAATCTACAATCGTTATTATAGTATCGTAATTTTTTTTATTACGCCCAATTATATCGATATATATAATATATATATTATAATTGTATTATTATTAGATAATATTATAAAAGTCCAATTCTTCATAAAACAGCATAATTGAGCAATGATAAAGTAGATAGATGTCCATCCACCTATTAATATGTATTAAAAACAAATCTAAGTTTATGAAGTCAATCAATAAATAATAATTTTAATTTACCTTTTGTAATAATTGGTTTTTTTTATATAATTCTTCAACAACTAAAGTAATAGTATAGACTATAGGTACAGGAGCCTTAAAAAAATAATACAGTTATTTCGGTGCGTTATTCAGTGCGTCGGTTAAATTTTTAAAGGTATTCGCTCACAAAAATAATACGAATACGGAATAAGTATGGACGTGCTCAACTGCTCAAGGAGGGTTTAGGGTTCCCCCCCCCCTATTGACACTTTATAAATATAATATATTATGTACCTACATGTAGGTAATTATAATAATTTAATGGGAACAAATCTATGTACTAAACCTATATATTACAACGTGTTAATAAGAACGATGTTGCAAAAACTAATTGCCAAAAATCATTAGTTTTTAAGTTGTAGCCTTACAAAGTTCACGATTTTCGGTGTTTTACGCATTCGCACAACTCAATATTTCACCGAGTGTTTTAAAATTTTCTGTTTTACTGATCAACCCTTTTTTTTCAATATTTTTTGTTTCAACATACCTAGTTCTAACCATGGTTAGTCTGAGGGAGGATCTATCACAATCATCCAATCCCCACCATAACTACGCCACTGATCCACACACTGCGCGTATACACCGCGTACACCACTTCATCAGTCATCACAGAAGACAGAACACTAGAACAGTGAGACGTGCGTGTTTTTATTCGATTAGGATTATTTGTAGTCACGCTGTAGTACATTATCGAAAATCCCTGATAGGAAGATAACATTTCTAGAAATAATTAACAACAATTAAGTATTTCACTGTTTTTATGTCAATATAAATATCAATTATCAATATTTTAGTATTTAGTATTTTAGTATCAGACCTCTACGTGTCACTGTGTCAGATATCCAGACTATCAGTCCTGCTGTAAATTCACAATTTAATATACAATATATTTTGTATAGACTTACTATCTGTGTAAAAAATGTATATACCTCTATATTTTTGTATTGTACTACTTTAGTAATAAAATGTCGAAAGACAAACAGCTTTTCGGTAGTCGGTTAAAAAGTTTTGTGTCAGAATTTAGTGCCAGTGCGTTTTTGATCGATGGTAAAGTCTTATACTGTAAGTATAGTGATATTAAAGTAGGGAGTGAAAAACGGTTTAATGTAACGCTATACATTGATACAGAAAATAACAGAAATCCGATTATGCGTAAAGAAAAAAACCAAAATTTATTTGAATCGAGAAAAGTACAACATTTGGTGAGTAATTCCAAAAAGGCCTTTATGTTCAGCAATGCTATCGGCTAACATAGGTACCTCTTACTTCTGAATAAGTAAATAAGTAGGTAGGTAACGTTCAATTTAAAGCAATGTCATATAATATCGATTATCTAACAAAATATCATCAATCAATCGATGTCATTGTTGTTTAAGTTAAAGGATAAAAAAGCATGTAAAGCTTTAAGAGAACGTGATACCCTCATGTGTTGTCTCCGTCTTACAAGTGCGTAACATAGCAAATTATACGCAAATCAGAACACTTGTAGCTCCGTTATTTTAAAAATTATAGTGAATTGACCTCTTATAAAATCTAAAGGTTAGATTATTATCTAGACAACCTCTTGGGCTTTTTGTTATATTTTAATTTTAAAGCGAGTTATGAGTACTTTAAAATGTACAAACCCCATGAGGTTGTCTAGATAATAATCTTACTTTTAGATTTTGTAAGAGGTCAATTTACTCAAATTTTTAAATCAACGGAGCTACACATGTTTTGCTGAGCGTAAAATTTGCCATGTTATGCACTTGTAAGACGGAGACAACTCATGCGGGTATCACGTCCTCTCAATTTACTATGTAGCTGCAATTAGAATCTAGCATTCTAGCAAACTCCACGCAGTATCCGGATTCCGGGGAGGAACGACAACTCTATTATCGTCATGGATAGGAGAAGTAGAGGGTAAACAATGAATAACAAATCCTACTTTCTAATAATTTTGAAATTGTTGTGATTTTGATGGATTTTGTCGGACGCGTTAATATCGGTTGGTTTTTTTTTAATTTCTCCAGGGCCCATCTATTATTTTCTGCCAATTTTTCATTGTATTGAGAGGCCCCATTCTATAGACTATAAATAAAAAATAAGCTAAAATGAATAAGGTGATTGAGATATTGACGTAAATAACTGATCTATTGTTATTTTGAAATTAATTATAATTTTTAGGACAGTGGAATTAATATGATAATCGCATACAACTTATAAGCAGACAAGCAGTCTTGTTAAGTATTCGAAATTAAAACTTATATTTAAACACTTTTTTAGTTATCAAATACTTTCAAAATACTTTTTCATTGTGTTTTATTCCAGAATACTAAATTGTACGTTCGTTCAAAAAACTTAACAAAAATTTAATCCCGACTATATAACTTACAAGTAACTTATTGTAAGTTATTATAATAGGAGTTCATAAGTATTAAAAATAAGCGTATGTACTATGTTTTTTTTATAAATATTTCAAGTTAAAAATGCAAAATTTGTAAATTATTTTGTAGTTAAATATGTATAAAACGATCCATTTTTATAGCTAAGGTATGCAATTTCGAACATTGTTTCTCATAACTCATAAGTATTTGGAGTATTTCATGGCTTATCATGGTGTAATCAATGCTGTAACATTCTGAGGGTTAATGAAATTATTAAACAATATTTTTGAAAAAAATCACACTTTAATGAAAAACAAATATTCTTTTCTTCAAACTCTAAAAGGTTCATGAGAATCTATTTTCCATATTACCCGTGTAGGCCTCTTACGGGGGTGCCAAATTTCTTTTGCACCGTGGCTCAAAATGTCTAAATGCGGCACTGGTGTCTGGCAGTGAGTGGTAGTGACTAGTGGTTGAAATGTTGAATATTTTATCACGGAGCGACGAAGGACGCATCACTGCATCAGCAACGACGTATAATGTATATTGTATAACCAAAGGTACCTAAATACGTATATCAATATTAAAATATTATGTATTTATTTGTTTCTGTATTAAACAATATTAAGCAAAGTATTATTTTTTTTGTTTCATCCATGTATCTAATCTAATCTATTACTCAGTTATAGGACCTACCTACCTACCTACTGCACATATCACAATGGTGGTATTGAGAGCTGGTATGCAGTTGCTTGTGATACATACAATGATACAACAATTTTTTGGGTTGTAAATAAGAATAACTAATAGCCAATTATACTCAATAGGTAAAAATATTAAGTACAAATTACTAGTGTATTTTTTTTTATAGTAGTCCGTGGTACAAACATTTCATCCCCCTCCCATTCCACCACCGACATGACAAAATTACGATTTTATACCTACGTAGGTAACAATATGTTGGTAACACGTTACCTACAAGTAGTATAATATACTTTTGTTGTACACGAACACGACACGGTGTAGTGAGAACCTAAAGGTCATACAATGGTCATAAGTCATAACCTTTATGAGATTTTCAAAGGTAGATTGTTTTTCTATCTTATCACTTATCAGTAAACAGATAACGAAAAATAATATTGTAGGTACATTTTAATTACATATTTATCTATTCAAATCATGGATGGATTCTGGGCAATAAAGAAATTATTATAAATTAATATTTAATAACTATTACCTACGCATTGAACGTTAAAATAATTCAAACACGTCTTATTATAGCCTATAATTCAGGAACATCAACAAAATATACATAAATATATATATCTAAATGTTGGTAATATCTTAAAGTTTACACATTACATTTATCTCTATTTATCTCTATAAGATAATTAAAAAAAAATAATAATTTATTAATCTAAAATAAATATTATAACACTATACTATTCAAATATTTTAATAAATATTAAATATACAATCTACAATTATTTCTACCTTTATATCATATGCTCTTAAACCCTATACTAAAGTATTTATAAATATTTATTAGGTATGTATTGCATTATTTTTTGAATGTTGCATGAATCCATGTGCCCTCAAAGGTACCTATATTGAAAGTTTTGAAAACACTGTTATTTGTTGATATTATATTAATAATATAGGTACCTACTAGATTCAGTATGATAATACATTTTCTTTTGTTTGCAGTAACTAACATTTTAAAAATATGTAAATAACATGTAATCACTATTCACTAGTCTATACAAGATTAAAAATGATTAGCATGTCATTATAATAGATTATTTTTAACTCTTAAAATGTTATTCTGCATGTTAATAATACCACATACCTTTATCTTATAATATTAGAAATAGGATATAACAATGGTCATAGGTAGGTTATGAATTACTAACGTTTTTTAAATACCTATTCAAAGCTATTTTATCTTAAGTAATGAAACAATAATATACAGTGTTTAAAACAATTTGTATTATGTAGGTAGAACATAACTATTTATAAAGATAATTTACTTAATCAGGTTATCAAATATTAAATGTACCCAACTACTTGACCTCAGTAAATTACTTTAATGATGATTAATATGTGGTAGGCACCTAGTATCTATTTATTTTCTTAAATTTAATTTTGACTGTCAACAATAATTATAATATCAATTAATTAAATTTATTTTTGAATTATTTTAGTTAAATATTTTGTTTCAACATGAATTGGAAAACCATTTCTTTGTGCTTGTGCATTTATGGCGTTTTAAAAGAGTTCCGTCCATCAGAATCTTATTTCATTCCTTATTTACTAAGTCCAAGGATGAATTTTACTGAAGAACAGGTAAGAATTTTTTATAAATATTAAAGCAAAACTAAGTTCCTATATTAAGAATATTAATATTTTTTTATTGTAATTGTAATAACTATTTAACCAATAATATAAAATACATTTTATATATTAATACAATTTTTAAATTAAATTAACAAACATTTAAAAATTTACATAAAATGTACTTTATTTAATACAAGAAAATAATTTGTAATGTAGTTATTAATTAATTTAAAAAAAATGTATAAACCTAGGATGTTCCCATACAAATTTTAGCTCTCATTAAACCATAATAAAACCATTATCTTTAAATTTTGTGTTTTTATTGTGTATAACTAAAGTAACTAATTATAGCATGCTAGTTGTAAAACAAATTACATGGACCACATCATGGATTTATTTTTTAAAATATTAGAATACAAAATTAAATTAAGGTATTATTAATATTGAATTGTGATTTGTATGTGCTAGGCACAACTGCACAAGAACAAGTTTGAAAAAATTGGTTAAGATATTCTTTCGCATTGTGTATTGTGACACCCAGTTTAAATGAAAATAAAAATTTGTTTAACCATACATTACATAATATACTTGTTTCTTTACTAAAATGTAGGTATTATTTAATCTTAATAACTTAAGATCCAAAAGAAAAAATTAGATATGTCATAAGGGTATTAATAATTATTATTTATTACCCCAATATCATAATTAAAATTTTAATATTCAATTTCAGGTTAATAATGAAATCCTTTCTATTGGTGTCTATGCTTCAATGATATTTATGATTTTTGTTTCTTTAACAACTGACTGGCTGAGATATAAAATTGTAATTGTTATCCAAGCGTTATGCGGTGTTTGTATTTATGCTCTGTTATCCATATTTACAAGTTTTACATCTATTGTTGTAAGTATTGTTACAATTGTTTCAAATGTAAAATAATAAAAAATACATTTTATTGGTTTTTAAATTGAAATAACTTATTATTTTTAGGCAGTTGAAATTTTGTATGGTTTGTTTGTTGCTACAGAAGTTGCATACTACACATATACATATTCTGTTGTGAATGTGAAATATTACCAGAAAGTTACTAGTTACACAAGAGCTGCACATCTTATAGGGCGTTTCTTTTCAGGATTTCTTTCTCAAGTGTTTATTTCAACCAAATTATTTGATACATATCAATTAAATTTTCTCACATTAGGAAGTTAGTGTGTTGATATTGAAGATGTGATAGAATGGTGTATTATCTATTTATAAAATGTCATAATAATGCTCAGGTCTGACAGCTGCAATGATGTGGACTATAACATTACCAGCTGTAAAACGAAGTGAGCCTAAGTCAGAAAGTCAGAAAATGAATGTAATAGATAGAGCATTAGAAACAAAATTAGAAGATGAAGATAATGATTTAGCTGAAAATAGTACAGAAGTAAATATTAGTTAAAAAATAATTAAGAAATAAAACATTTGTATACTTATACTTACTTTATTTTTAGCATAGCAAGATGTCATGGAAATATGTTAAGTCCATGTGTAAAGAGTATAAGAGTTTGTATATTTTGAAATGGTCATTTTGGGTGATAACTGCAACTTGTTGTTTTAATCAAGTATAACAAAGTATAAATAAAAAATAATTTATATATGTTTATAATTATTAGAAAATGTTTCACTAGGTTTTGTATTATATTCAATCATTGTGGGAATCTTTGAGCAATGATGAATGCCTTCAGAGTAGTATTAATAATTGTACTAAAACTTCAGAATGGAATGGAGCTGTTGATGCTGTTTATACAATAATAAGTAAGATTCATACTAACTTAACCAATATAACATCTAAATTATAACAAAACAGTGGCCTAATTTGGTCATGTTTGTGAGGTAAGATTGAAACATTTACCCACTTCTCCCACTAAAAATAAAAAATGGCACAACCATTGTGATCTGTATAATATAAGTCTATGTATATAAATGCATCATAAATAATAACATATTTTTAATATAATTATGTAGATTTGTGGAATAATCTGCCTATCTAAGCGTAATATACTCAAAATAACTTCAAAAGGTCGTAACTTTGAAACGAAATCCAACCAACAAATTCTGGTTGCATCATTCTTAACTCGGTGAAATATATAGGTTTTCAAAAATCCCTTGGGAGGTAAACTGAATTGTTATGCTGTATTTAAATATATTTATGCAATGGTGATTAGCGTTTATACTTATGATTTTATGAAATACTATTATCAAAGTTATATACGGCTAGCATAGGGAAGTCTGGTTTCTATAAAATATAGTATAGTACCTACTTAATTCCTACATATTATAATATTTCTAGTTAAATAAGTTCTTAAATAAGGTTTGCTAGTCCAAAAAAAAAAAGTTATAGTTGGATAAGACCCCCAAATCCCCCCTCCATAATTATGCCTGTGTAACAAAACATGACATAACATTAACTTGGTTAATATTGTTTTGTTGCTATCAATTGCAAGATACTACTCTACAAACATCCTCAACCATCTGGGTAGGTATTTTAGTCTGGGTGATATGTTTTGGAGTGCCTAATTGTGTAAGATTTTAAAAGCCTAATAGTTACATTCAACTGTTTATTTGTTTAATATACTATAATATAGTATGTAGGCTAGCTACAGAAATAAAGCTAACATAGAAAAAGCAGGAAATATTTTGACTTACTCTGGAATTTTTACAGCTTAAAAGTAATTGCCCTTTGCCTTTCAGCTGTTCCTTGATGAAATATCCATATATATATATATTAGTTATGTATAGGTACATACTAATTTCCTTCTATATATTTCATTAATATTTTGATACAATATTACAATACAAATGACTATAGTTTTTATTGATATAGTTTAAAAACTTAATAATGAAGAAATAATTAATTTGATTTTTAGGTACATTTATTACATTTTTATGTGGTTCGATTAAATTGAATATGGAGAAATATAGTAATTTACTTATTATAGTAACATCTTTTATCCAATTTGCTGCTCTTTATATATCAGTTACATATAGCTCAATCTATGTATCATATATTAACTATATAATTTATTGCGCAATTTATCAAGGGATGATGACCATTGCCAGGTTTGATATACAGTACCTAATTATATTTTAAATTTTTTATTAAAAAACCATTTTAATTTTATTATTTTGTAATAAAGCTCTGAAATAGCGAAGTGTGTCAATAAAGATAATCATGGATTTGTGTTTGGTGTTAATAACTTATTAGCTGCAACTTTACAATCATTAGCTACATTTTTCATGACTTTATGTGGTTTGTCATCATCGTCTAAAATTTTGGTAAATATATATATATACTCTATACTCTAATAGTCTAATAATTATATTAGTAAACAATGCAATTTATTTTTTTTAGTTTGAATGGTATGCTATATTTTGTTTAGTAATTGGAGTATGTTATTTATTTTTATCAATTTTACAAGTCGTTAAGAAGTAAGTTATGATAAACATATTTAATTGTATGGTATTAATTAATCTTAGTGACTTAAAATATTCATTGTTTGCTCAATATGACAAGCTAAGGTAAATAAAATTATAACTAATTGTTCAAATAATATTAATTTAATATTTATTACTTTTTGTGTAATTTTGCATGTGTGTTATGTAAACAATTTGTAATTTAATACAAAGACTGTATTTATAAGTTATGAATTTATGCCTATTAATAAATACCTTGATTCTTATTTGAGATTTTAAATTTTGAAATAATAAATCTATATTATGTAAAATTATGGATTTTAATAATGTAATTTTTCCATGGTTTCACCATTTTAAAATACCAAACTATCAAATTATTCATTAGTCATTACTTGAGAGCGGATTTGTATATTGATTCTAGCTGATCATATGATATGCTAACTGAGCACAACATTTGTTTCTTGACATAACAATTTTAAAAAGGAAACTTTTTTTAGTGAATATTTTTTGCATATTTTGACATTTACCCATTTTTTTTATATTTTAAGGACTTATTTTACAATTTTAATTGCATATCTTTTAGTACATAATTCGATGTTTGTTTATATTTTTAAAAATGTTTGAAATATATACTATTGTCATATAAGAAAATAATATTATATTTTTATAGTTTCGATTATATCAAAATAAATTAATAGTTACTTGTAGGTTTTCCTAAAAATGACCTTAGATCAATTATCGGTGAAATAAAATACGTATACCAAGATAAGAAAATATAAATTATGACCATTGCCCATTGACATTATTTGCTTTCCGTCGTAATTCCTATTTTTATTACCTACTTGAAAATCGAAGCATTATTTCGACTACTTATCGTAGACACACATAAAAAAAAAAAACAAAAAAAAATAACACACATTGTAAAATCGATACATCCATCTTTCCACTCAGAATCTAAAAAAACAATAGATTTTAAAAAAGCAAACAAACTTGCATGAAATAATAAATACTGAGATGAAACTTTGCATAGTTATTGGAATATTTTAAGGATATAGGTAAGTGTCATTTTTATTTTACTAACAACTTTTAAAAACCTTATGTCCTTATGTGATTGCCCATTTAATTTGACCAAGATTTATCAACTTTATAAATTTAGGTTTATTTTCCCAATATCTTAGGATCATCATTCATCAGCATTGTGGAGGCACTAGGTTAATTGGTAATCGGAAAAAAAATCTCTAATACAAATACTTATACATATATAATATAGTTTTATTGTACATCTTAAAATACTCATAACTCGCTTTAGAATAAAAATATAATAAAAAGCCTATGATATTTCCTAGATAATAATATTACCTTTAAATTGTGTGACAGATCAATTCACTCTAATTTTTTAAAATAACGGGACCTACTGAGAGTAAAATTATTCAATTTTTTAAATAAGTATTTTTATTTTTATATTTTAACTGACTTGAATATTTATATATTTTATTACTGTGTAAGTGTAAGTGGTTTTGTGGGCACACAGTATATTATTTACCGTTTCAACTTCATGAAATGAACAAATTTTCATGAATAGATCAATTTTGTATGCGATTAGTGATACTGTTTCTGATCAGAAATCAAAATTATAATTTATATTATAATATATAAATATTAAATATGTTTGACTATTTAATGTATCCAACTGATGCACTTCAATTTAACAGTAAAATGTACAGTCTATTCCAAGAGAGAATAATCACTTTTCACGCATCACGAATGATTCGATTGGTGCTTCGAGAACCAAGTGATCACGTTAACACAGGAAAGTTGGTGGGGGATGCGCACCCTGACAAGAATCGGTCGGCGGACTGATTATTCTCTTGTGGAATAGACTATAGACAAATTTGTTGCTTGAGGTTGTCAAAATTACCTCCCACTAAATATAAACAAATGTAGTAGTATTACTTTTTCTAGTGTATAATTGATAATTTTAGTATATTACATGTTCATACTTTAATTAAAAAATCATCCTACCTTATACTACTACCCGTAACCTACCCGTTTATAAATAAATATTTATATAGCAATATCATATAGGTAATATACTAATATAATATGTAGGTACCTATTTATCGATATAATATTAATATTATAGTATAATAATTATCATTCAAATTTTTAATTTTTATTAATTATTTTTTTTTTTGATAGCAGTATCCAACAGTTAGGGTAGGTATATCTTTGGGGATTTTTTTTCCTAGATTCAGGCAGTTAAACTGATGTTTTCATAATTGAAGTACCTATTGCGTTGTGCACTGTTGTGTGTATACCACGGACTAAGATAAACAGGACTGGAAACGATAGACGGGAGGAGTGCGGATAGCCGGAACCATAGTGTAACGCTTGTAGTACATGGACAAATGTGGCTCTATCTATTGATAATATTTAGCATTTGTTACACATATATTTATTTGCATATTATTTTTGTTTTATAATGTGGGGCGACAATCCAAAACGTACTATTGCCAAAATTGAAGAAATTGAGTTACATAATGATTCTTATAGAAATTAAGGCAGGGAATCGAATAGTGCAATCAAATTGTGACAAAACGTACTATTTCCCTTGTTAAAATCAATCTGAAACTCATAAATGACGCAAAACGCACTATTTTCAAAGCCAAAATTTTTTTAAATGCACTATTTCCAAAATTACGTCAAAACGTAGTATTGTCCATGTTAAATAGTTTGTTTATTGACAAATACGTACCAATTACTCGAATTGTACAAAACGTACAATTTCCAAAGTAGGCTCATATGTACTATTTCCCTAGTATGAAGATAGGGAATATAATTGAATTGAATACATAACGTACTATTTCCAAAATCGTGGAAAAAACGGGTACATTTACAAAATATAACATCACCTTTACCTATACCTACCTAATTGATTTTGCTTTAAAATATAATTAGGTATTCAGCTTATATTCTATGTATTAATGTATATTATTTTCAACAATCATTTAAAATTGAATCAATACAGTGTATACTATATTACTATGTACTTTAAACAACAAATTTATTTCAGTTAGATATATAAGCAAAGATTATTAAAGAATTAATAAAAATACTTACAAGTTACAAGGATATATTTATTTTTTATACTGTAACGAATAATGGTGATCACTGGACACTGATGTATTAATATTTCGTAGAATGGATCATAGATAGCGTTAAAATCGCACTTGTACCAGAAGCGTTACACTGTAGTTCCATAGATGACTATCTCGTTTCCAGTCCTGTTTATCTTAGTCCGTGGTGTATACTTTTCAGTCATATATTATCTACCTACACTTGAAAATCTAAAACAATAAAAAATCTTAAGGTAACTGGTTTAAGTTAAGTCCCCAAGAGTCGATAACATTACTTCAGTAGTCAGTTCCTTCAATCCTCAACACTACCTAATTAATGATTTTGAGATCGGATTTAAACAAATAACTAGATATTTTAATTTGTCACTACCAACCTAGTGGCTAGTACTCAAGTGCCATGCCAAATTAAAAATTAAACAATAAATATATAATATAATTATAGAAGTATACACTGGGTTAGGTTAGGACTTATGAGTGACCCAATCCTACTAGTGAGTAGTGACTAATAATAATAATATTATATTATATTATATATTATATTATTACTATTAAAATTTCATAAAGTCTATGCTTTTACTGACAATGCGTCAGAAAAGTGACGCCTCCTCGTCAATACTCGTCATATTTTTTCTCTTTTGATCATGTGGTCGGTTTTTTACTTATTACAATGGTCAAATGATTATTTTTTGGTGTCAATAGTTAAGACACTCGATAGTTACTACATTGGGATGAGTGGCGTAATTTGGAATTGGTTCTGGGGTGGGATATAAATTTATATTATCCTTATATTATTAGTATATTATTGTATTAAGAATACGGAACTATCGGGATAGTAAGTACAATAGTAGTCGAGTTAATAGAATTGAGAAGTAGTGGTAGTAGCGGCATCGGGCGCTAGTAGGGATAACAGAAAAGTACCGTTTTGGGACTACTGTATAGCTTATAAAATTAATATGTATTATGTACGTATCAATTTCTAATTAAAGATCATTTTTGGGATTTTATTTCGGGTCTTATTTTTCCCGGGTTTTTTTCGAATACCGGATAGAATGTATACATTTTGATACGTACCTATATTAATATGTCCATAGAATAATATATATTATATTATTCTATGATATGTCCATGTTTTGATAGTATCACATGATAGTTCTATGATAGTAGTAATTTATTAAAATATAATACTAAAATGGTGATAAAAATATTACTAATTGTTTAATTTAATAATATTGAACAGCTCATTAGCTCAATCGCTCAATGCTTTAAATAGATAATATACATAGCTATTCATAATATTAAAAATATAGTTTGATCATTGATGCATTCCCTTGTTTCATTTCATTATTGAATCGACGTGCTTAATTGAATTTCAATGTGTAGTGACCACTGACTTATAACATTAATAGTTACAGGCAGGTATTTATTTTGACCTCAAATTACCAGAAAAGTTGTTATTGTTCCCCTTATTTGCGGTTATGCTACCTATGTATATTAAGTTAAATCAATTAATAATAATATTAATTAATATAAACTTAATTTAGATCAAACAATATTTGTCATTCACTTCTAAATGTTTTACTCTGACGTAGATGAGAACAGCTTTGTTGATGATAATAGTCAAAATGTTTCCGTCAAACTATACGAGTATGTACTTTTTGTTAAAATCTTAGTTTTAATTGAAATTAAAAATTTTGAAAATTATATAGAACCGAGTGGAGATATTTATTCAATATCACCAACATTGATGAACTACGAGAAACCGCTATCAAAGCCAAATTGAGGACATCTAGATTTAGAAGTGTGTGTTGGCGTCTTTTACTAGAAATACTGCCACCAGATTCATCTGAATGGTTGATGGCTATTGAAAAATATCGGTCATTGTACGAAACAATTAAATCGACACATTACAATGATCCACACACACAGGATTCTGGACCGGACGACCCACTGTCTCAAGACGAAGATGTTTGTTTCTTTCCCGTCATATTTAAGGCATAGGGCCGTCCTTACTATTTGCCTGCTCTCCCCCCTCTAAAGACAGCCCTGTTAAGGCAACATTCTATAGAGAGATAATCTCTGCTAATAATTGTTGATGCTTTGTAAACTCTCATATGGGAGTTTATATCAATATTCTGTATGACAATACTTTTTCAATCATAGATATCACAAATTAATTACTTAATGTTTATTAATAATTTAGTATGGTCAATATTAATGGTCATTATACAATTTTACTAGGTACTTTGATTTTGTCTATAATGTTAGCAGATCTTGTCACTGCATAGAATTTATACTGATTGCTAGTGTTTGTTTATGCTTGGAAATTGAATTAGATGTTCATTTGTTCATTATTTATTTTAGAGTATTTGGAAACAATATTTTAAAGACATTGAATTAAAGAAAATTATTGAACAAGATGTGATCCGAACTTCCCCTGAAGTTGAATATTTTGGAACAAAAAAAATTCGAAACATAATGATTGATATATTGTTTTGTTATTCAAGGGAACATCCTGACTTGAGCTATAGACAAGTATGTAATATTTGAATTATGTATTTTTTTTTATTTAGTAGTAGGTAATTAACACGTAATTATAAAGATTTATCCAAATTTTAAATAATTTTCCTGTTAAGGATGTTTAAGTAGATGTTGATTATAATAATCATCAATATTTGCAATTATGTATGGATTAAAAAAAAAGGTTTAAAATAACATATTATTCATATTACATTAATTTTACTTTATAATAACTATTATATAACATAATATTTTAAAATATTTTTCTAAAATGAAATAATTTGTTGATATCTTCACATTTTCTTTTGAATTATAATAAAAATCACTTATTACAGTGAGTTTTCAGTTTTAATAATATTTGGCATATGAAAATCATAATTTAAAGACCTCACCTTTTGCAATTAGTTTATGACGTTATGAAGTATTTTCATAAATTGGCTAATATATAAAGAAAAGGTAAATCAATGAGCAATTAAAATAGGGATAAGTATAGGTTCAGCACTTTAAATTATATTATAGTTTTCTGATTTACATCATAAACATTTATTTATATGTCTTAGAACAATTATAGAACAATCGTTTATAGGTAGATAATAAATGGTAGGTCACAACTCACAACAAACAATTTTGTATTATCCTTTAATGAAGTCATGACATATAACCGATTAAAACACTATTATTATACAGTTTAACTTTTAAAATCATAACCAATAAGTACTTGATTGTGAGCATTAATATTGTAATTAATAAAGGCAATAAAATGCTTATTTAGCTGTTTAAATTTCAGACTATTAAGTATTTGGGGTTTTAAACTTCAAAACTAAATTTATTGTATACCTAGTTCCCTTTCTAGTCTAATTTTGGTATTTATAATTTTACTGAAACATGGCTAAACGAAAATGTAAGTGATACAGAAGTTAGGCTTTACAAATTATTCAATTTTTCGGTTGGAAACAAAAATACAAGTTCTTGTTTTAGAGGCGGTGGCATACTAATAGCTGTAAATAATTCTTTAAATCTTTCTTTATTAAACGTGTCAATACTATCACTAGAGCAACTTTTTGTTCTCTTGCTTTTTAAAAACCAATTATAAATTATATATTAACTCTGTTGATGAAATCTACCATAATTTCCTAACTTCTAATATTATTATGATTGGTGATTTCAATTTTCTTCACATTTTGTGTTTACTTGGTCCACAACAGAAAAAAATTAATACTCCTTTATGTGTGGCTAACTCAACTGAATCGTATTTTATTAATGCCCTTTTATGTTAAAATTTTTCTCAGTTAAATTTTGGTTTTAAAAATTGTAATCAAGTGTTGGACTCAGTCTTGGCATGAGAACAATATTTTGTGAGTAATTAATATAGCAATAGTAATAATAATTTAAAAACAAGTTATTTTTAAACAGGTACACTTTTACACTTTTGAGGGGACATTTTGACAGACTCCACATTTTTATAAATTAATTGCATTTTTGTTTTCCGTTAAATAATATTTTATGTAACATGCTTCTTCATAAATTAATATTTACTAAAGTTTACTTTAATAATATTTGTATAAACTACTTGTATGTATTTTTTTGACTGACTTTTCACCGAGCAATACATTTAGATTTCAACAATTCTGGTAGATAAGCGATCTACCAGAATTGTTTCTTGAATTCTGGTAGATCGCTTATGACACTGTTTACCAATTGTTAGTTTATGTTTTCAATTAAATTTTATTCTAAGATTTTATTTATTATATTTTATTCTTTATGTAGGGTATGCATGAAATCCTTGCACCATTATTGTTTGTTCTCCATTGTGACCATCAAGCATTACTTCATGTCTTGGAACAGACATCTTCTGATGTTAGGTAAATTAAATTAAATTAAAAATGTTTGATGTATCTCAATATTATTGTATTTTTTTTTAGTGATTTAATCCAGAAAATCCTTGATCCTGCATTTTTGGAAGCAGATGCATAGTAAGTACTTTATTGTTAATCCCTACACCTGCTGTATTGTTTTTTCTCTTACAAAATATGTACAGAAGTAAATTTCTGTTAAATTTCAGCAAAATCAACCTTGTGTTGTTAATTTAAGTATTAGAGTGAATTGACCTATTATCAAACTAATTTAAAAATATTGTGTTTGTACATTGGTATTTTTACGATATTTCAATTATAAATCAAGATATCGATAAGGGTGTATATTTTAATATTTTACAAATTCATAACTAGCGTAAAAAATTTAATTTCATATAAACCCTACATACAAATGCAGATGATGATCTTAAATTTAAGTTTGGCAATAATTCAATTTACTCTAATAGTCTAGTACTAAAGACAGGGGCGTCATTTCAACTTTTTTTTTGTTGGTGCGAAAATGTTTGCAGGCCATTCAAATTGTTACCAGGCCACATAGAAAACTTTTTTTTCTTTAGTGGGGGGGGGGGGGTCTAGTGGGGACAAAAACTAGAATATTTGTAAAATGTATTTAATACGTCACTTATATTAGTACCTATGAAAACTTCACAATATTATTACTGTTTTTGAAGAACTATGTGTAGGTACTTTTATAAGTTTATATTATATTGTGGATGCCAGTTGTATTTGGTAAGCAAATTTATGGATATAAAGCACCTTAATAGTACTTAATCGAACCTAACCTATATATTTTTTCTCCCTGCACACTCAAAATAAATAATATAGCTAAACGACTAAACCTGAAATTTGTATTATGGGTTACCTTGTTCAAAATGGCACAATATACTTAATTCATATTTCTAAATTTTTCCACATCAATTTTAATTTAACTTTAAAATTTAAATTAATAAATTTAACTAAATTTTAATTTAATTTATTATTATTATATAATATATATTATTAAGTATTTCACTTCTTTCTCGATCACGACTAGAACAATCGTACTCTCGACGTACTAACTAAAATTGGTGGTAGAATTTCTACCATAGAATATCATTTCTACCGTAGAAAGTAAGTGACAAGGTTAAAAAGGTGGGTAAGTGGATGTCGCTCTGCTGTACTGTAGGTTACAAGTGGGTCAATGTATAATGGATGGTATTAAATTTGAATTTCAATGATATAATATCATTGTATAAGAAAAACGATTCTGAGCGGAGACGGTATGTCAGTCTAGGTATAAGACATATTATATACTTTTCTATGGTATTAAATTATATGGAATTTATGAATAAATTGCTTAAAATATGCACAGTCTTATCATGAGCATAATTCTTATTCCTTATACTATGGTAGATTGTATGGATAGGCCATAATATTTTGATTTTTCAGTTTCATATATCCCCGAATAATATTTTTAAATTACAACAAAAACAAAGATCGTTAATATTGATTTTAATAATATGTAATTTCGTCCAAATTTGAATTTAAAATGTCTGTAAAAAATAACTGTGTTCATATATTTTTTAGATTTTTTGGTTACAGTATGAACTATTTATGAGAACCTTTGTTTTAAATTTTCAATCGTTAGCTATAAAAACTTAACATTTTATAATTTATTAATTACAATGATTGATAATTTTCGAGATTTTGATAAATTTTGTCAAAATTCGATGTTTAAATGCTTATAAAAAAAAAATATTGCCTATGTATTTTTAATATTTTTCAATTGCTACTGTAACAGTATATCAGGAACCTTGCATTAAATTTTTACACTTTTTGGCACAACAGATAAAACTTTATTGATATTTATAGAAAAAAAAAAACTAAAAAAATTGAAAACTGAAAATGTCCGTAAACAGCTAAAAAGAGTCGAAATATTTTCAAAATTGTACAGTGTATAGGAAATGCTAATCTGAACATTCAGTGAAATTTTCATGTATCTATAGTTATTCGTTTTTGAATTACAACAAAATAAGAAAATCGCTACATGAGAAATCAAGTAAATATCCAATGTTGTATTAATTTGAATTTCAAACGCTCATAAAAATTTAATATGATGTTCCGGTAGAGATTTTTTTATTGATAAAGGTAGACAATCTTATGAGTAATCTTGTATTAGATTTTCAAATCTTAGATTTAAAAAGAAAAATTTTTACGAATACATATATACATATACATATACACTTAGGTATATCGGCGCTTATATTTATTGTTGGCAGGCCAAAGAAGGCGTTTATAAAAAATGTTGGTGCAAATGTACACCCTGCACCCCCCCAAATGACGCCCCTGACTAAAGAGTAAAGTTAATAGCTCAAGTTTCATTGGTTCTGCTGAACAAAAATTTGATATTTAACAGATTATGTTGTACACTTGTAGGAAAACACAATATGCTTGTGTAGAAATCATTTATTAAGGGGCCTGCACGCGACCTGTTTTTTTGCTCAAAAACATGCCTTACAGGAAAAACTCTCACGCCTCGTAGATTGGTCCGATTTCCGTAATTTTTTTTTTGTTAGATAGAGGAAGACTTCTTACAGGGCGCATTGGACTTGGATTTTCAAAATTATTTTTCTAAGTCTGATGTTACAAGTTTGAATTTAATCAATTTTTACAACTTTTTAGTTTTTGTATTATTTTTTGTTTTTAGCTACGTAATCAAAAATCGAAGTCCAATGCGCCCTGTAAAAAATATTCCTCTATCTAACAAAAAAAAAAATACGGAAATCGGACCAATCTACGAGGTGTGAGAGTTTTTCCTGTAAACTGTGTTTTGACCGATATAATACACCCTATCAACCCCCCCTAAATAGGTATTGGGTAGTAGATTAGTGGAAAAGTCTTATAATTGAGGTGGCAACTAAAATATAAAATTTAATTTTCAAATTTTATAGAATTGCGGAAAATTTGAAAAATCGCGAGCAGGCCCCTTAATAATCTTAGTACTTAAGACGACTTAAATACTTTTTAATTTTAGTTCCCTATTTAATATTATAATGGAGATAATGAAGGATTATTATAATATTAACGATTTTATCATATCAGCGCAAAAACCAACTAAACATGTTAAGACTACTGTGAGTTTATATACATTTTTGTTAAACATTTTTATTTTAATTTTTTGGCTACTGTAATATCTAATATCTGTTAATCGTTTTAGAGTTCTACATGTGATAGTGAAGTTGTTCAAAAACTTTCCAAAATACGTGATACAATGTTGACAAAACATGACCCAGAACTATATGGGCATTTATTGGACCTGGATATTTCATTTACTACTTTTGGACTGTAAGAAGATTATTGGGTGCTAATTCGGTATGCGGTCTACCGGTTTTGGCGTTCTACGTTCAGTCTACGTTCGGGACGCGGATATTGGACTGCAATTACTGTATATGCGTTATCTGCCTTGTTTTTATATAATATGTTGGGTATTTCTTTCAACTATTAATAATCTCACTCTAAAATCATCCCACAATCAAAACATTGAGATGTTATGGTTGGACGCAAAAATTAAATTATCGAACACCCCTGTTCCTCTTCATCATTTGCAGTCTGATCTTGATCACTATTGCTGGTAACTTTACCGTCAAGACAGTCTGGACCTTTTTCTCGTCATGTTAGAAGACATTCAGATCGTAAATATTTGTTTTTGAATGAATATAAAATAAATAACTGTAGATCATACCGACTCAGACACTTTTTGGTAGAGCGTATACCGAAACAGAAACTTGTCGGTAGAGCGCATACCGAAACAGAAACTTGTCGGTAGAGCGCATACCGAATTAGCACCGATTATTGTAGTTGTACTAAATTTTTTTCCAATGAAATAATGGTTCTTATAATTTTTAGGCGTTGGTTGAGATTATTGTTTGGTGGAGAATTTTTATTAATAGACCTATTAGTGTTATGGGATGCTATTTTTGCCACATCACCTCAAGACTTTGCATTGGTTAATCATATTTTTGTGGCTATGTTGGTCCTTATAAGAATTCAATGTAAGTGATTCAATGTATGATTCAAATTTTTTTAATATTTTTTAAATAATTATTATTTCCAGTACTGAAAAGTGATAATACAGACTGTTTACATTATTTAATGAGGTATCCTCATGTCGATGTGATGACTGTTATTGAATATGCCCTGCATATGTTAGATCCTAAGGTAAACAGTTTTTCCATTAGTTTAATAGATTTTGTTGTAATTTTATATTATTGCAGATGTATATGTTGCCATCCGTTATAAATTCTCTTAAACACGATAAGAGCGACAACATAAAATCTAATATTACAGAACACCGAGTAGAACGGTTAGTATTTATGTTAACAACAAACAAATCAAATTGGTTTTATACAAAATTTTAATTTCAAAGGACAGGAATATCATTTTTTTCTAATTGATTATTATTTAAATTAATTTTAATGTTCATGTTTGCTACAATTTAATAAATTATTAGTGTTATGTAGTTATATCATTTTACTAATTGGTAGAAAAAATAACAGTCTGCTTAACTCAAGTATAGATTTTAATTTTATAATACAATAATGCAAAATATGATTTTATCAATTATTATGATTTATGAATAAATAAAATTTACTAAAATGTACTTAAAAATAAATTGTTTTTATTCCAGGCCATCTAAACTTATTACTTATGCACCAAGACCAACCAGAAATGCAGCAGATGTAATTACAATTTATTAACAAATATTATATTTTAATTAATTTGAATGCATGTTAATAATTTGATGTAATTTTAGGACCTACTTGAGTTGTGTAGAATGAAGTTGATGCAGTATCATTCCATTTTAGATTCAGCTGTCCCTATTCATAATAAAGAGGCAAGACAAGCTCTAACTGGAATGCTAGAAGTAAGAAAAATCATAATTATTTAATAATGTTTAATTAAAATATAATGTGACGTTGTTAACTACAATTATTATATGATCTTGTATACAGTTGTGTGGAATGCTAAGTTCGCGTCAAGGCATCATAGAAATGGGTAAAGATGTTGTGCGTAGTACAACAACTCCAATTGAAACGCTCCTTACACCTGACACACCAGAAGGAGGACCATTGTTACCTCCTCCTGCTTCTGCTATCACTATGAAGGTATTTCGTAAGACAGAAAATTCAACTGACTCACAAATACAAGGAGCACCAATAAAAAATCCATTAAAACAGATGAAACGGTAAATACAACCACGCATTTGCTTAATTTATTTCGCCTATAAATTACATCTGATTAACGTTTATAAAGATTTGTATTTTCTGTGATTTGATATTTTTACTACTCATTTTACATTCTCATATTAGTACGTTTTAAGCATATATTTTGTTGTTTTTTTTAAAAATAATATCAACAGTGTATTCTTGACTATTAAAAACAGCATTTTGTTAAATATAAGTTGTTATAATATGAATAATTTTTATCTAATAATAACAATTATATAAAAATCAAAGGTTTTATATTTTTAATACCTTTTGTAGAATCTACGGGTGCATTAGAAACTTCAAACATTAATTTGATACTATTTCAAACAAATATTTTAAGATTATTATATTTTTTAGTATCAACTATATGCAAAGGTTTAAGTGGTGGGGGGGTTGTTGGAGGCTCAGTCCCCCTACCAGGACGGCGGTTAAAAAGCGTCCCCTTTAACAAATTAGGATTTTATACATTAGACATAATACATAAAATTATATATGGAACGCTTAAAACTATATGGAGACATTAGTCCCCTCTGGAATTTTTTCCCACTTTAACCCCTGGCTATATGGTTGTAAAATATGTATTTTAAATATCTATTGAAGGGGAAAATAAGAATGAGCACTATAATTAAAGAAAACAGTATTATAATTCACAGTTAACAATTTATGAAGTAGATACTTATTTAGATTAATTTCTATTATAATAATTTGTTAGATAAGCATTTTATAACATTTATGACCTAGATTATTATTAATCTAAAATTCAAATTTAAAATCTATCCTATTAAGACTGCTGAAAACGGATCTTTTTTGAGCATTTAGACCAATAAAAGGAAGAAAAAATCACCTAGTACCAATAACCCGATTTTAATTTTGAAAATATATTGAAATTCCTTATTCTCTTTTCTAGGTTATGTAGGAAATGGATTCTCGATTTATTTTTTTTTAGCAACACTAAAGTAAATGTGAACTTTGAAAAAAAGAAAATTCATTCGGTATTATTGGGGGTGGGCCGATATCACTTTTAACCGATAATTGATAATCGGATATGTTATGCAAATTTATATATTAAAACGATATATTCAAAACTTTGAATTTTTATCCAAATGCATGAATTGATATTATAAAATGCCCGATAATACATGATAACATCAATATGGTTATAAATAAGTTTAGTGTTTACAGTTATAATCGCGGGCATAGTTGATAATATTAGATTATACATATTATAATGATAAATTGTTTTTTTTTTTTATATCGGGTTTAAGACACTAATTGAACAATACAAAAAAAACTAAAATCCATTTTCTATGTAACCTAGGAATTAGAATAGGGAATTCAAATATGTTTTCCAAATTAAAATCAGGCTTTTGGTACTGGGTGAACTTTTATTCCATATTTTAGGACTTTCATGTTGACATTTTTTCATTGCAAAATTTAGTGACATATGGCTGCGTGTATGTGGTATGTACGTTACTGATTTCCAAGAATCTTAGCAGTAGTTTATCTTTCATTACATAAAGCGTTTGGGGAACTCACGGACACTGATGATCAGTCACTACACACATAGTCATATGACATAACTACATAAGTAATAACTCAAGATAGATATATAATATTGCCTAAATTCAACTCCTTAAAAATGGTCCGCTTTCAACAGCATTAAGTACTTAATTCACTAATAAAAATTATGTTTAGTTAACTTCTTGTTTAACAAATTAATTAATAGGTTCTTTAGTTTAATATTATCTTGAATAATTTAATTGAATATAATATAATTTAGTTTAAATTCTAGTTGTTCCAGATGATATTAAACTAAGAATATTAACTAAATTAACATTACTAAATTTAAAAGCCCTTAATTTAGGATTATTAATGAATAAAAAATTAACACTACTATCAAACTGTGTTAAATTTTTTTTAGAATAAACTGATTTTTCTTTATATTAAGAATAATTATTTTAAATGTGTTGATTATAAGTATTTTTTTTTATCAATGCTAACATACATAATATATTTTTACGGGTGTAAAATATTCTTGTCATTGTTGTGTGAAAAACATTATAAAATAGTAAAGGAAAAATGAGTTCAAACAAATCATTATATTGACAAATCTAAATTAAGTGTTAAAAATAAAATATATACGTTGTTTTAAAATATTATTTTTAATATGCTTATAAGACCCAAATACCCAAATATATATATGCAGATTTACAACACATTTACAAAAAAATTAAACAATTTTTTTTATACACAATGGTAATTTTAAATGGTAAAAAAAGATAATAGTAATAAAAATAATAATAATAAATTAATATAAATCATAGACTAATAAAATAATATTTTTATAGATAACAAAATAATGTATTTTCTTTGGTATTTACAATTTGTTTTATCATCAAGTTAAGAAAAATAAAATGTGGAGAAAAAATACGATCTTGTTAGTCAGTTTTACTGAATTTTATTTATGTTTAATAATATAAAAATTATACTTGATTCTATACATAGAATAAAATTAAGTGATACACCATAATCTTAATTATAACATCATACTAATCAAAAGCTACAAGATGTGAGTTTTTGAAAAATATTTTAATAAAAATGAATTTGTGCGCTGTTAAAATTAGATTATAGTGTACAGAAAACTATGATTAGTTGTATATATATATATATAATTTGTCCATTAAATTATTAAGTAAACAAAAAATTCTTGGGTAACACAAAAAAAAAATAAAACATTAAAAATAAATATTGTAAGGGGATGAAAATCATGTAGATCACCATTACAACGGTATCATACAGAAATTATTTTATTGTTGATATTATGATAGTGTTGTTTTTAAGTACTAGCATTGAAAAAAAAAAAAAAAACAAAAGTATATAATTAATACTAATAATAAACATACATTAAAAATAAAATAATATAATAACAAAAATAAGTGTACCTTTGAATCGAGGCAATTTTAAACTTCAAACGATATAAATAAAATCGTTAGCATAATATAGATTATATATTTTTTTTTGAATAATTGGGACTAGTTTTATATAATAACTGGTTCACCATTAAGTTTTTTTTTAATTGAATCTAAAAATTTGCATACACATTTATCTGTGTACCCTAAAGCAATGTGCAGCAAAGGGGATTTGGCTATTTCATGCGATTTACTATTAGGTCGGGTACGACCAACAGAGACTTTTGATACGGTGACTCGGCAATCTTGCCGGCCAGACGAGTTGCCTCGAGACAGTGTTTTTTGGCAAGGAACCGCGTCTGTTCGAGACCCTGTGACTTGTGTACCAGCTCGAAGGCACGTTCTGCATCGCCTGGCTCTTGGAACCGCCGCATTATCATGGCATTCAACTCGGGGTACTGTAAGAACAAAATAAAATAATATTTTTATTTATTACCAACTATTTTAATATTATTATGTAATTCTATTATTTTGTTTAGTCATGATTTCGATTGTAGTGTTTTACTCTACCACCGTGGTTTTGTATAGCTGTTTTAATTGTGTTCACCGTCAAAGTCAAAAATATTTATATCTTTGTGCATACACATGATAATTTTATCAACAACGTTATATTTTAATATCATATGTAGTTTTTGTGAAAATAAATAAGAAATACGTTTTAAAATGCCGTCAAATGTCTTGTGGTATGTAGGTACTATGTATTTTGTCCGTTCTGTTATTATGGGTGATGACATTTTTAATAACAATTCATAATCATCTTATTAATAAAATAAAAGCACCAGTGATTAAAATTGTTATTTGTTACTAATGCAACTATTTCTTTAGTAGATAGTTTTAAACGAGTGAAAATATATTATATATTTTGGTGTATTATCATGGTTCAATTTGAGTGTTTGAAACAAAACATAAGACTTACAACAACAAATTACTTAATTAACTATAACTATATATACATCCAACTATAACATTCAGTGTACTTATTTACAAGTTCCTGTATTTTTCTAGTTTTCAACGAGACAACGACAATACGGTCAGGATGTTGTCTCCGAAGATTCACAGAATTAAGAGTTCATACAGTTCATACAGTTTACAGTAGGATACGACCTAAAAATCAATAGGGCGGTACAAATAAGAACGCCCGATCAGTATGCCTGCACTGAGGGAGATGTTAAAGTCGAAGTACAACGCATCGACACAAACGAGCAGAATTTGGCTGCTGATGTCAGTATAAAAACAGAATCAATTCCAGTGGCGAGATAGAGGGATTCGTCAAGCGGAAACACTTTCGTGAGCGATCACGATGACAGAAATCTGAGAGGACAACAAAAATATTCCAGACTGACAAACGACTCGGAAAATTACAAATCGTCCAGAATATTACAGGAAAATCCGCCAAAGTTGAACAGACTGCGCACTGACTTCCACCGGCACTTCCGTGTATCCGTAGATCGCCGGACAGACAAAACGGGTGACTTTCGTAAGACCAAACGACTTGGTCGAACGAAAAATGGCTAAAGAGAATTTGTATTCTAGGCTATCCATTTGCTCGTATCCTTGTTTGATCGAACTGGCTCTGAAAAACTCACCAAACGTCTAATGTACATATTCAAATTCGTTTCCATGAACTTTCCCTACTTCTGGAGGTCGACTATATTCGCCAAAACCTGAACGAGAAGACGTTCTTCCTGACAATGAACCAGGAACCCACCGGTGAGTTAAACTTGGAGTCCCCGTTGCAGACCAATCTCATGTGTTGGGTGAACCCCTCGAGAGCTTACGAAGTGATCGCGGCCTGGGTGCAAACGGACCCGTTGCCGAAAGACACCATGTTCCATCCTCAACGATTTGAAACACTTGTGAAGGATGTGATGTATAATCCGAATAAATCGACGTTTGGCGACAGTGGAAGACGTGATGACTGTTATACAGTGGCTGCAATTTTGACTGTAGAAGGATTGACAACAGCTAGTGCGAGAAGTGATAGCGGAGACAGTGACGGCGGTGGTAAGATAGCAGCAGCTGTAGTAGTCAAAATGAGGGAGAATATCCTTTGGAGCTGGTGACGTTAAAGCTTGAAGAAATTGAAACTCAGTTGGAAGAACAAGTGTTTTAGAGGCGTACCGTTGAAACGCGGGGCTATTTGTATGCAAAAGTCGAAGGGGGGAAATACGCCAATCAACCCTCACGGGGTAGGTTCAAACAGGAGAACGGAGAGCAGGGCTCACTAAAAAAAACCCGGTGGGTATCCTTGGCGGCCTACCGCCATAACCCACTGAAGAAAATGCCGGTCCGGTTCTCCAAAACCGTCGCAAGCAATGAACGCGTATACATACCACGATACGTCGAACAATTAATGTTAATTTTTTTTGAATTTGATTTTATACAGTTACACAAATTCGTTGTTTAAAATGTTATTATTATATTATTACTTTCCAAATTGTCGATTATAATAAAACGCAAGCCATGCAGCTGTTCTAGTTGTGCTATTGCACGTATAAGACTGTTAAATTCGTTCGATGTTATAACTCGCGTAAAATTATATACCTAAGCGGTCGATATACCATACACCAGATAATAATCTTTGGTGTATGGTATAAATATCGTAAATAAAAAACGCCTAGTTTTCAGGAAAAGAAAAGAAAACATTGAAAAATCATTTAAAATCGTTGATAATAATGTATTGGCTGATGATAATTAGTTTAATACCATATATACCAAAGATATATGTATACAATTTTTTATTGAAAACGGACATTTTAAATCTTAGTTCCTTTAATATATCTACACCTAAATGCAAAGATGTTATGTGAATTGATAATAATATAAGTTAATACTATAGTCAATGTACTTTTAAGTTTAAGCATTGAGGTATTTGTATTACTACATTAAGGGCCTATATTATTTTATAATAAACATTTTTTGCTCATATATATATATATATAACTCTATGCAAAATTCCTCGACAAGTTATTTTTGAGTTTATGAGATACGTATTATGCCATACATATAATAGTAATAATCAAAAACACTGAACGAAATAATTTACCGATAAGAAATGATATACAAAGAAAAATGTACTTGTTTCACACAGTAAACTGTGGTAACTCAGTATTAGGTTTGTAATTTTCCATATTTTATAATAGTATGTACCTTGTACCTATTGTTTACATATTAAACTAGTATGATGGTTTATCGATATAAATAATACTCCTTTAAAAGTAAGAATAGTTTAAAAGCATTTTGCAGCTACTATGATACTTTGGTTGTCGGTATAGACAGCTGCAGACACCAATATTGTTATTATTATTAATTATAATTTTATAATTATTTTACAACGTACTCATTTTTTGTACCGTGGTTTTGGTTCATGTGACTTAAAATTGGTCAGTAGCTTAACAAAAATCAGGTCACCTCTTTGTAAATAATTGACGCACCCCTAAGGGTTTTATACTTAATGCCTATGCGGCTATATGCCTACATTATATACCTATATGGCTATATTGATTCCAGTTACTGAGTTATCTATATAATAGGATAATCGTTGTAAAAAAGCTCGTTATTAAAGACCTATATAAATTATGGGGTTATCACAAAATCGTAATATTTTGACAGAAAACAGAAAAAATGGAAAAATACAAGACGATTTTAACACGAATTTCACATTTAATTCACACTCAATTCCCATGAGTTTTTATTCATTTTGCAGTGCGAAACATTTGCAATAACTCTCTCAACGTCCCTCAAACAATATGTGCCGCCCTCGATGGTATAATATAGGTAAGTACCGAATGTCTGCGATCGAGGCGTTAGTGTAATTAGGTTAGGCGCGGTCGTCTTACTTTCGCACAATACACATACCGCGCACGAACGCCCCTTCCCCAAGCAACCCACTGATTTAGCGACGTCGTCGGGGCCAGGTAAATAATCGAGTCCCAAACGATTGGGTACATAATCAATTATCAACCGGTAAATCGAGTCCGAGTGAATTTTAATACGTTGTATATTATATTATATTAAAAGGTTACCTTACCGTTTTTTTAAATTTAATAATAATAATAATGATATCTATCATATTGATGGTTCCACAAAACAAAGGGGGCTAAGCGAAGGTTTCAGGAAAGTCGAAGAACATTTTGTTGTGATTTTAATATTTATTTAAATTTTTTTGATAAGCAATCATTTTTTTTACGAGTACAATTTGACATTTTTTCGTTAAGTAGGTACCTACTCACGTTATATATGTACGTCCTTTTTATATAAATATACATTTTTATTGGCTTTTCATATTTAGGTGGATACGGAAATTGGAATACACCTAGATGCTTAAGAATTTTGGCACTTGTACCTTAAATGTTTTTTTACATAATTTATCTAATGCACTTATCCTCTATTACATTATTTAATATTATTATTATTTATGACCTATATTAAAATGTTGTAATGCCTCGTGTTCGTCAAAATTATGTGTAGGCTAATATTTTTTGTAAAAAAAAATCAAAAATCGATTTTGATAAACGTCGCTTGTCCCTTAAAAGGCTAAACATTTGTGATACTGTTGTTTATTCCGTATTAATGTAATTTAGACCCCTTCGAGTTAACGAAATAAAAAAAGAGTTGCATAAAACGTAAACTTAAGGTTTAAACTGTTTGTTAAATAATTCCATCCAGTGATATACGTCGTTAGAACCCTAAGTTGTGACCTTTTCGTCGTTTATAACCATCGATATTATGTTCGTCGCTGGCCATCACTTTAAGCAGTCAAAAGTTTTTCTCGGCGGAGGGATATAATATTTAATGCGGTTGAATAAGTTTCAGAATAATTTCTCAACAATAACCAACACAAGTTTTTTTATACCCGAATGAACCTGCAACCCAGTGGCGTGTATCATAAATTAAATTGGTGTTGCTCAAATAATTTTAGGTGACCTACCCCTCATAATACTGTTATACCGACCTAAAAAAATTCCTATTTTTCTTCTATCAATACCCACCCACCCACCCATATTTAAGGCGTTTCCTGAGCAACACTTGGGCCCTATGTTACACGCCACTGCTGCAACCCTGCTGTAGCACAGTCGATACTTGTCGCGAAACCCACCCACCTATATCTGCTCGCGAACCGACGGTATCATTCTCACCTACACCGTATATGCAATACACGGCGGGATAAGAATAATGGACACTCAGCCTTTGGAAATTTAAATAAACTATTGCGAGTAGACGGTTACAATTATAATATAACAATGATTAATGATTATATATATACCTCACCCCCCACGCCACGTTTGGTTATTACGACGCCGATCGCCCTTTATATAATATAATATACTATTAATTATTTCATAATACGCGAATTCACATAGTATATTATTAACATAATGTATATATTTTTGGGCTGTATATGTAGGTACGCTATACATTTTTATAATTGTTGTTATAGGTTATTTTGATTATATCGATAATTTTCTTAACGATTTAGAGTAGCCCATTTTGCACTACAGTTGAAATATAATTGCAACCAAACATTAACAAATAAACAAATAGAATTTTGTTAACCGATCTTGCGTTAAAGTGAATAATATTATAAAGTGTTTTTGACATGGGTATTATAATTTTTTGCGCTATTCTTGTTCAATAGAACCGCGAATACTAAAAAACATATATATATGTATATTTGTATGGTTTACAAGTTCTTTTTATGTCAGCAACTTCACTTTTTATAATATTTAGGTGCTCGCGGTCGCATGAATCGTGATACTTGTTGGTTGCGGATTTACCTGGCGAAGAAGAGTTTCGGAGAAAACTGTTTTTGCTTAAATTAACTATATACATATATATTATATATGCATATTGTATATATATATATAAAATACGATAAAACAATGCACCGGGCTTACACCGCTCGGCCGAGGTGAATAAAACGTATAAAAAGTATAAGTACTTATAGGCGGGAAAGAAAAATCGAAACGACGTTGTGTACGCGTGAGAAAAAGTAATTAAATTACTCGGAGATACGATCCGCCGATGACCCTTGTTAATAAATTATTACCCACCTACTTTGTATAATTGCATATACATATTATTATGTTTATGTACATTCTAAGACGAAGAGTACACACGACACACCACACATCGCTGCCATGCCTCTAATCATAACCTGAATTTCGACAACGCAACGCCGCGCATCATGTTCGCGTCATAAAACAACGCATAATAATAATATTAATATTATGTCCAGCTATATACCCGTTCCCGTACCTAGGTATACGTTTTACATTAAAACGCGTATCTATAATATTACAATATATTATTATTATATCTGTATTGCGTATATATACGCGTTATATTTGTCCGTAGCGAAATGCATGAGATTATTAAACACAATTGATTGCGCGCTCTGCCCCGGAATTATTACATCGCGCGCGCGAGAAACACAACCACATACGAGTTGTAGGTACCTACCTATATTATATTGTTGATGTAATAAAAGAGAAAAATATTTTACAACCCAACCAACTGGTTTGTCGTGCAGGATGGATTACGGCCACAAAAAAAAAAAAAAAATAAAAATAATAATAATACACTGACAGGTATGGGTACGCCGGTTCAGGCTAAATCCCATTGGTCGCAAGAAAGCGGTTATTATATATTGATTGTGTTAGGTATATTTTTGGTAAAAGAAACTTGGAGTGGCCAACGGCTAGAAGACGGCAACGAGCGACCTCAACAGAAATAATTCCTCCGATTCGATCAAACGATGGTTATTTCTATTTTTTTTTTTTTTTTGTTTCCGGGTCGTAATAAATCCGAGTACTATGTGCCACGACGAAATTGTGATCCTATAGACACATACCCATATAGGGCACGCAGCTGATATAGGTTTAAAAAATATTATTTAGTAAACATATAGGTACGTATTTACTGTTTATTTATCGAACATTTTGAAAATCACTTTTAAATGATTGTCCGTCGTTAAAAAAAAAAATCACTAGAATATAATATGCATAATAATATATTACATATTAGGTAAACTGTGTACAAGAGCTAGCCTGCCAGTCAGTCTGGCGACGAGATGCCATTGACCACTAGGCACTAACACTACGTGTTGCCAATACCTCGGGGATATGGAACGGCGAGTCACGTGTCCGAGGCGAATATCAAACGATTTTTGATATACACCATCGAAAGTGTATAATAATGTATGTATATCTTAAAAACGAAATTTTGAGATATTTCATACTCATGAAATGCATATGTTATATACCTAATTAGGTACATTTGGTTAGGTAATTGGGAAGTGAGAGAAGAGACACGTTCCATCTTCTGTCTTTGTATATTATAATATATACACTAAGAAAAAATTACCCATCAAACCCGGTTTAACCCTTCTAGTCCGAAAAGTGTCGATAATCAGCGACTCTCTCCACGAGATATTATATTATACATTTCAAAATTAACAACAACCAACAATTATATGCATATTATACGAAAAAATTTTACACATTGTATATTACAGTTAAAAATTTAACTTACCACTCTACTTATTTAATTCCCAGTGATATATATATAACATAAATTCACGCTTTGGTTATTGGTCTTCGCAATTAGGTTATAATATATAGGTAATAATAGGGGACTCGTGTTGGGACGACTGCGGCGATCTGTCGTAATTTAATATAATATATAAAGTATACAATATTTATATATTATACATAATAATATAGTAAAAGGAGCGATCGGCGGGTAAACTCTCAATCAATGAACTGTAATAATTATAAGGTAGTAGGTTACTGTGTTTAAGTACAGGGTCGTTTAGATTTACATCATGTAAAATTTTAACAACCAGTATGTATCTAAGATACATATATTATAATGTTTAACGATTGGCGAATATGAGATGCCAATCGAGTGTATATATATATATCTATGAATTAGTCGATTTTAAGGAACGGTAAACCTAAATTATTATGAAAAAATAATACTGCCGAATTAATTATGATTCCAATATTCTTAAATATCATGTCCTTCGTTTATACGTCGTGGTTTCAAGACTTGAACATCGATACCTACGTTAATTTAAATTCTATGGAGTATTATTACCGTATTAGAGAGCCACAATAATTATTATGTATTATATTTTCATTAATTTTTAGCGTATTTTGGTTTATATACTTAAGATAATATTTTGCTATACTTACTTTTACTAGGTAAAGTGAAAGAAAAAAAAACTAAAATATTTGTTTTTGGGTTTCTCAAAAATCTGATAGGTTATACAGCTTATCCATTGGGTATGGTGTTATAAAAGCGGAATGATTAATAATTTTTGTCAAGCTACAAATAGTCTGGGTGATTTTTTAGACTTTGTGATGGTTAATATTATGTTTCGGTTAAAGTTTATTAGGTAAGTATAAAGTAGGTATAGGTAATATACATACCTTTTCGCAGGCGAACAATACTGGAGCGGTGGCCAAGCCCAGTTTCAGATCGGCTGCCGTCGGTTTGCCCATGGCATCTTTGCTGGACACGAAGTCCAACAGGTCGTCGACCAGCTGGAACGCCAGGCCTATGTTGCGGCCGTACTCGAACGATACGTCAACCAATTGGTCGTCGGCGCCAGCTAACATCGCTTCCTGTGGAGTAAACAGCGACAATATGAATAATAATAACAGTGAAAACTATAGAAGAAAAAAATTTTTTCTTAGAAGGTATATACTTTATATTATCAGCGCCAGTGGTTTTTATTTAATTCAGTCATAACCAAAATAATGGAGCGGACAAGGCTTTTTTTATACAAGCAGTGGTTATATCTGAACAGTTCGTATACAGACGAACTCGACCCCAGTCGGTGTGTATATATTGTATATATAGATGTAGGTTATACAGTCGTTAAGTGTATTAAGTACGTTTATATATATAATATATATATATATGGCACAGGTAGCTCAACGATTTTATATTATGCTCGAATACACCGTGCAAAACGTGAAAATCGCTTCTCCGAGTCTCCCCGCAATAGCTCCTCGTGTTCTCAATAGAACAGTATTATAATAAGTACGCGTTCCGTTATTAGCATAGAACAATAAAATAATTTAAAAAGAAAGAAAAAAAAGTCCCACAGAGATTTCGTAATGTAACGTTTTCATTTTTTATATAGGTATACGTTTATAAGTAATAGTATCGCCATTCGCCGGTATACCTACATGGCTACATAGTACATACACATTACACGTCATAATACAAATATATTACATTTATATACATATTAGTGGCGGATTTAGGGGGGTAGAGGCCGGCCCCCATTGGCATAGCATTTAGGTTAATAAATTGGGCCGTTTTTAAATATTTGTGTCGTAAAACTTAGAAAAAGACAATGGGCCCCCCAAAAAAATTCTAGATCCGCCGACCGCCACTAATACGTAAATACTATAATATAATATATTGAATACATTGTGTACTTGCGTAAGACGTTTCGTCAACCAAAGCTGTACAGCACCTATTAAACCTAATAATAATTATTATTATTGAGCCGTAAAAAATATTATACTATATAGGTAATATATATATATTATATATATTATATATAGTATTGTAATTGGTCATCGGTAGGTAGTAGGTACACCAACATAATAAGATGTAAAGTTATTAATTAGGTATGTACGCGCTTATACTCATTTCGGGATCACACTCGGAGAATCCACCAGTTATAAGTTATAACACAATATGGTAATAAATTTAGGTACGTCCAGAAAATTTATATAATATAAGATGTTTTAATTAATCCAAGTGGTAATTTTATACGCATATTATATACCAATAACACAATGCAGCAATTAAAGGTAGGATGTACCCGTCGCCACCGCCACTGCGGTATGTACGCGCAAAGTAAATTTCGCTTTCTTTCGTAATGTATATACTGTACGACGACGTATATTTAATAATTAATAACTAAAACGATCAATGATAAAATCATATATTTATTATACACACAACATTACATACCTACGCACTGCGTTCATCATTCGGTTCTGCAGGTACAATATTTTTAAATCACTTACGTAACACCGCGTTTGTATATAATATCATGTAGATTGTAATTTGTAGGTATATACTATTACGAGTACCTATACAATATTGTTTATTTTAAATATCGTAGAAAAAGCGTTTTTTTCACTTTTGCAGCGTCCGATGCATATAATAGTTTTACCGGACATTGTAACGACAAGTAACGCGACTCGACAAAGACAAATTATTTCGGCCCAGTTTTACCGTCTGCGTGCTCTATATATTCCCTCAACGGGTCCTTGAGATTCAGCCAGGCGTTTAAAAGAAATGAAATTTGAGACGTTCGTTAAACGCAAGAGAGTATATAGCGAAAATGAATACGTAATGTAATTGTTTTACGCAGCGTTTATTCACACAGACGGATATGTATAAACGCCGATGCGAATGGGAAATAAATGGTGTGCAAAATACTTGATACGCTTCCGAGGATTTATTCAACGTCCATCCCGAATTCGGACGACACCGTGGCAATTAGTTTTAGAAATAAGGCCACTAGTCCGACTGGAACATTGTATACAGATAACATAATAATTATTGTTTAGGAGCTGCTGCTGTTAATTTACGAACAACATAGGTAATATCAGGATGATAAGCTAAACCAGCTTTTGGTATAAAGAACGAACCCTAAATGATTGGTATTTAAGGGGATTCGATACCGTGATTTTCTGTTTTTGTCTAACAAACGCGTGACATAGTATTTTAGACGTGTTTTTTGCCAAACATTCCAATTTATCTATTGAAGCGATAAGATTTCTAAAAATAGATTTGAATTTGTCGTCAAGTCTACTTGAAATCGACTTTCCCACATTTTTGATTTTTTGATTTTAACTTCTCCAAAATTTGAAATAACAGAATTTTTAAATACTCTTTTTGAATATGACCTTTTAAAAAATTTGGGGGGTAATATCAAAAATGTGGGAAAGTCGATTTTAAGTAGACTTGACGACAAATTCAAATCTGTTTTCAGAATTCTTATCGCTTCATTAGATCAATTGGTATGTTTGGCAAAAAACACGTCTAAAATACTATTTCGCGCGTGTGTCAGCCAAAAATAGAAAATCACGGTATCGAATCCCCTTAATAATAATAATAATAAAGTCGCAAATAATTAATAAATAGGGTGATATTTCATAAATTTAGGACTCGATTATACCATATTATTAGATACTTTGAAACTAATCGACTGTTATGGGGTCTAGTAAATATAATTTTTTTTTTTTTTTTTTTAATTTTACATTATAGTACCTATATATAATATTAGGTTTGTGTAATATGCTTCGACCAATGCGTGAATATGAATACAAATAAATATCCAATTAAGAATGAATAGTTAACTGATACTGTAATTAAAAGTATTATAGGGGAAGGGGTATTAATTATAGATTAAAAAATGTACATTTAAATACATTAAATGGGTCATTGTAAATATAGATAATATTAACAGTTCAGTTATAATTTATAACGAATGTTCCAGACTACGAAAAATGCATCTTAATAAAAAAAAATAAAAACCTTTTTTATTTGGCCCTTATTCTCTAATATTATAGAAGTTATTTATAGTTATTTGTAGTTTTATAATTTTTTACTTACAGCTTTGACTGAATTGGCTATGAGGCTGGCTGTTTTTCTGTAAGTTTTCGTTAAATAGTGAGCAAATCTTTCGTTCTCAGTCTCCTTAGAGCCGAGCTGCATGAACTCTCCTTGAACCAAGTCAGTGATGATCTGTAAAGTTTTCAATTTGTGCCGTTTTTCGATACTGTATAGGATATTTTTTAAGTTTGGTTTAATATTAACATTAATAAGATTACACGTACTTGGCTAAGAGTGATTGTGACGTCATTGTGGTTAAGCCTGGCGATCATCATAGACGTTACTGCTAATATATAATCACCAGCCATGGCTACCTGAAAAATTAAAGTTCAAAACAGTTACAACATTTGTTAAAAAATGTATTATTATTATTATTAACATGACCATAAAAATGGATATATTATTATAATTCATAGTAATCATTAATATGTAGGTATCAACTAAAAAAACCTATAGCCACACAATTACATTCATAAGAAATCAATCGAATGCATTATACAATTCATATTTATATTATAGATATCTTTAAACACAACCACGAGAATTTTTATTATAGATTATACAATACCGATTTATGGATTTTGGAGGATTTATAATAATCTAATTTGAAATGTAATTTATATGAGCTAATTAACTTATAGTTCGTATCGTATTACTATTATCCAACAATAGGATCTCGAGTTGAACAACACGTCAACTCACGTATTGTGTTTGTATTGTACAACATTTAGTTATTCTGAATATAGAGATGAAAATCATAACTGTAATAAAAATAATAATTTTTATTTGATAAAATGTTTAAAAAAATACTACGTTTGGCATTAAGTACTTGAGATAATTAACACGTGTACAATATTTTTGAAAATATGTGATGAAGCGGATATAATTCGTCGTATGATTAAATTATCAATTGTTTTTACTTTTATATTTTATATAAAATACGATTTTAATTAATCTCCATTAAATATTTTAATGTTAAATAAAATATTTCGATGGGATAAGAGTTTTATGTTTATAAAATGGTAATGTTCTATGTTTTTATTTTGTTTTTTAAGTTATGTTTTTATTATTCCTATATTTTATAGTTTAAAATTAAGAAGACAGCAGATCGATTATTAACGTCAGATGGGTTTTAGATATAATGTGCATCAATAGACAGTTAACTCCGAAATATACTTTCACTATAATAATTATAGTATTTATGGCTATTATACCAAGATTAGATGAACCAGACGTATACTTTACTTCTTTCAAAGAGAGACTGAAAAAATAAAAATAAATAAGTATAATTTTCCATTGGTTGATCTACGTCGTGGAGGCAGTAGGAGTTGCCTAACTTGAGCGCCCGGTTACGCCTCCGAAGTGACCGTGTACTTATGAACCTTGGTCGAAAATAATGACACAATATGATGGCCAGACAGAACATATTATATATACATTATAAGACTGATGAAATTATTTGAGTATACCTTATGTAAATATCTACAATATAGCCTAAAAGATAAAATTCAAATATTTGAAATGTTATTCGTGAAACGCTTAGATATATTGATGTGAAATTATAAGACAAGAATAAAAAAACTTTAACTAAATTTTTATTTATTTTAGTATTTTTGAGAAAAAATACAAGAATGCGTTATAAAAAACCATTACGAAATTCTTCCTGGAAATATTATGTTCTAAGGTCAATGTAGATTCCTCTAAAAAACCGGAATTATGTTTGAAGAGAAAATAAATAAATATTCATTAAAGAAATTACCATATGTGCATAATATCACATTAATTAATATCCTAATTATTCACCTTTAGGTATGAAAATTAAAGATTAATATTTTACGGGATCGATTAGTATTACTTAATAGCTATAATGACACTAGTCAAGTACACAAATTCAAATACAATTAAGATAAATAAAATATTAGTATAAAATTTCTAATGATCATTTCTTTAAATTAAATATACATTATGGTGGAATTTTTTTTCGTAATTCCAAAACACACACATTAGGAAATTGAATGTTATTTTCTACTCAATATACGTAGAAAATGTACAAGTGTCATAATAATAACATTGGTTTACGCTACCAAGCTGTACATGTTAAGTATCAATTAATTAAATATAATACAAACAAACTTTCTCATGTAGTTTCTCCCCAAAAATGTAGTGTTAGTTACTATTTAGTTGAGTAATAAATTATAATATTTTATTGTTTGAAGTGTGTATTTCACATGTACATTATTAATACATATACTTATTTATATGAAGTGGTTAATTATAAATCAACATTGTATAATATTATATTGTAAGTACCTATACAACGAAAATTGTCCTAGACATTTGATTATAATGTTTACATTGTAGTTTCAAGGAATTAGTTATGTAAATAACAACGACAGACTATTATAAACAATATATTTGCTTAAAATAAGAATAATGCTGCAATACATATAATTACAAACAACCTATCTATTTTATGATTTATATACTTAGTAAACAATGGAGTGGTTAAGAAACTATCCTAGAAAATTGATTTCATAATACTAGGTAAGAAAAAATACCAATAAATATTTAAAGGACCTCAATAATTCAAAACTTTAAACTCATCATTTAAAAATTTTAATACTACACATTTAAATGCGAGGTTTTTTAGTGAAACATTAAATTTTGTAGTATTTTTAATTTAGAGATACATGTTTTGCTATTGCTATAGTACCTAGTATATTTGTTGTAGTGTAATATCTATTACACCATAACAAATATAAATAAATACAATACATATATATATATATGTATAAAATATTTCATAATAATTTGTATAAAACTGTCCAGTAAAATTAATTAAAATTCATGGTTTGGTATTATTACTTGAGAATATATATAAAATTTGTTACACATACGAATTATCAACTGAAAACTTTAATAGGCTTTATTTTAGCTTTTGGAAAAGTATTTTGACTAAATTTGAGGGCAGAATACTCTAATTCCGAGTTTTGACAATACCGTAGAGTGCAGACTGAAGTTTTATAACTGCCTGCTTACCGACGGTAATTATAATAATATAACGCATACACTATTAACGGAAATAAGATAGTTCATATGGCAATAAAATTCAGCATTTATAAACGACTGATTTCTATATTTTTTATTTTTTGGCTTTTTATCGAATAATATATATGTACGAAGCAGTATTCACCCTAAAAAAAGAAACCCCATGAGCAGTAATTTACTATATAATAGATATATCGCGCAATCATACGAACAATTTGTAGATATTTTGTCAAAGACTCCGGGGTATGTTTTGTGCTTATGGTGAACATCCGGAATGACCTTAAATAATTATACATGACGTTCTGTATGTCTGTATGGAACGCAGGAGTTTCCAACGAGTGTATATAGTATACGTATTTACTCATTAATAATTGATTCACCCGTCAAAGCTTTGAAATATCTGACATAGATTTGTACTCATGTACGAAGCCGAAAAACCTTGGATATCCAAAGCCGATATACATAATATAATAATGTTCGTTTACTTTCGCCCATCGGACATTAGGTATCGTCGTCTATAATTTCGCAAACTCGTGATATAGGTATATTGAACGGGGGAACAAATCAAAATGGAAAGAGACGCACAATTGTATTACGTAATCTACTAAAATAAAAAATACGTTTGTATACCTTATGTATAATATATATACACACATTAATCCGAATAATTTATGAGTAAAGCGTCGTTGCTTAGTCATGCCAAGCTGTATGCCAAGGTCGGATGGTTTTTCGAAAAGAAAGAAACGTTAAACGCCCGCCCGGGGCCCGAGGGGAGGTGTGCTTAAGGAGAAAATATATACACGCTCATCGCACGCACATATTATACAGCAGTCTGTGGTTGCATAATTCGGTCGGATGTGAAAAGAAACAGCATTCCAGCAGATAACATGTATAAGGAGACGATAGTAAAGGTGTGTCTTGTAGGCAACAGGATAGTATACCCGACGGATGCGATGACCAACCAATCGATAGAAGCGCAGCCTTGTGTCCGGTCAAGGACAGACACTGGTCGGTTATATTATACACGTGGACATTCGAACGTTCACCTGACGACGTCCGACGGACCCGGTAAGAGGGTTGTATAGGTACCTGGCAGTTTATGTGTACATAAATAATATCATTGAATATAAATATTTATAATCAATGATAATAAGAAAAAATACATATTGGTATATTAAAAATCAGATGGGAAAAGCCTGGTTAATAAACTAAAAGTCTAACAAATAGTAAATTTAATTACTTTAAAAACGTAAAAAACGATTTTATTACATGGTATATAAACAATTATTGTTCATAGGTGATTAATGTTGGTTTCAATGTTTAGCAGATAATTTAACAGGAATTGCAAAGATTGTAATTTTAAAAACCAAATATATTATAAAATACTATAATACAAATCATGTTTTATAATCGTAACTATATTATAAACCCAATATTTAATAACTTTAAAAAATAATTTATCAGTTCGAAGTTAATCATTCTGCTGAAACAGTTCAAAAAATACCTAAGCAGCTAGTATAATAAATAATTCATTGATGACATTTATAGATTTTTTATTAACTGCTGAGTGCTGACATTAATTTTAAATTTAACTAACTTCCTTTCTAAGCAATGTATTAATTCTTATCGTTTTACCGAAATTTAGGAGTATATAATTATATTTTGACAGATACGGTAATAAGCAGACTTCAGTTCCGAAAAAACCTACATCAATTTAACATTACCCACAATTGTTTACAAAGCACTTTAAAGATATATGTATAGAATTATTACAAATAAGTATTCAATAACTATTATAAGTAATATTTTTTTTAGTTACCTAAGTGTTGACTATAGTAGCTATAACATATTGTACCATATATGGAATATGCTCAATGGACAGCCATGGGCTATTGCACTATCAATAAGCAAAGTAGTCGAATACATATACTCAAACAGTAGAAGACAATTATATAATATTCAGCGACTCACTTAGTAGCCATAAAAGAATTAAGAACACCACAAACATTCCTCGTGTAATAAATCTCATTCAAGAAAAAAACATATTAAGTAATAGGTAGCGAAAAAGTAACATTTTATTTTTACTCGGAGCAGTATTATCGGAAACGAAAAATGCAATCAAAGAAGCGTACCTACTTAAACAGATTTGTCAACAGACAAAAGGGATTTTTTTTAAATATTAATACATATGATGACACAAAATTCATATTGTACAAATTATACTTAACGACAGATGGAAAGAACTAGAGCAAAAACTAAATACAAA